TTTTGTGTAGAAGAGTTTTTCCATTTTCCGTTTTGAGATTATTTTAGTAGATGAGTTTTACGAACAGACATTTAAAAAAGTATGAGATTTTTAAATGACGTTCTTTTTGTAGACGTGTTTTTTACATTTACATCTCGAATAAAAATATATTTAAAATATTAATAAAAAGTTGTAGACCTATTTTTTGTAGACGAAGTGAAGCCGTCTCTAGTTTTATTATTCCTTCTTTTATCAGTGTTTTTTTTTTATTATTATTTTATTGTATGTATTTCCTTCATCTCGTTGGCAGTGTACCATTGTACGATTTGGATGATGTACCGATACCGGTACTCGGCGCGGGTGTTTTTTTTCCCCTTTATATCACATGTTGTTATCTGGCGGCGCGCGTTACTCCCTACCTTTGTAGTGAATCGATAGTAAGCCCCCCTCCCCCCCCAACCCAACCTTTAAGAGTATCCTTTTCTCTAACACGTGCGACACTAAGAATTCGCAGACTAAGTAGGCGGAGAACCCCAGAACCCAGAGAACCTAAAATTGGTTTCCTATAAAAGAATGAGAAATGCCAAACATTTGGCGACGATGTTTAAAAATTGACGTTCTCTTCAAGAATGTAAACTTTTCGCACCACTCTGCGAGTAAGTGCCAAAATTCAACATTCAAATGGATATGCACCAAGTTGCAGCTGGTTTCGGCGAGAAAAGCGGTCATAGCGTTTTTGAGGTCCCTTTCAACTATTTACTCACTCACAAATTTACATTTCTGACAGAACAATACATAGCACTGGTAAAACAAGTGTGCAATATTTGCACACCAACGTGTGCAAGTTGTGATTTTGCACATTACATGGTGTTTAACTCAAGTTGCACACTTGCGTGGTGTGCAAATTTTAGACGTTTTGTAAACGTTTAAATTCTGCACACTTGGGCACACACAGTTGTATGCTGTCAATAGGGAACCATACGGTGTACAGCTGCTACACGTTTCGGAAGTGTCGAAATTTTAAACACCAATTGACGTATAACAAAGTTAGACACTACAAAGTGTCGAGAAAATGCACACTTGAACTTAAACGTCAATTGACGTGCAAAATTAAACACTTGTTTTACCAGTGAGGGTACTGGGGGGCTCGGCTAGACCGGAAGGAGAAGAACAAAAATCGTCCGGCACGGGGAGGAGCGGGGCTTGGTGGAGGGCAGTACCCCGCTTCTCCCCGCACCCGACCGGCCCGACGATTTTTGTTGTTCTCCTTCCGGTCTAGCCGAGCCCCGGAGTACCCTATTGCTCGAGCAAATGTGTATCTGGTGCGACACGAGCACCTCGACACACGCTCGTGACCGCCAGGGCTACATTGCAACCTGTAATAGACGGTTCCGGCTGTGCGCGTTTCGTGAAGGAGTAAAAGGAATAGGGTATTTCAGTGGAGCGCTGCCCGGAACTAAGAAGAACAAAACCGGATACAG